AAATGTAAATGTGTTGTATACCTAAAATATACCAATAAAAGAATTTAAGAAAAAAACAACAAGAAAACAAAAAACATAAACAAAAAAACCACACAATGGAACAAAATCTGTTCGTGGAAAACTTTGCTGTATGATCCTATGGATGTTGGTAATTCACATCATCTTCGGATTCACTTTGAGAAAGATTCTTTTGTGATAATACATAGTGGTCCATAGTCATACCATGTCAATATTAGTATTATGAGAGAATAAATCTGAGAGTCCCGGATAGTAAAGGGAAAGGCTTGAAATTGGAACTAAGAGTGAGGTCTAAGAGGATCTGCCATTTTGTAGGGGTGGAGGAGGAGGAGGTCAGAGCGTGAGGTGACCTTTTTGTGGCTCTAGGACAACACGGGCCCCTAGAAGTTAAGCAAAAGAGAACAGAAAAAAAGCTCAAAATATTTTGTTTCCTAAATATTGAAGATACTTACCTTACTTGAACCTCCACTGCCTATCTGCTTTAATATGGAATAAATTCTTCCTTTAACTGAAATGCATTCATTTGAGGATCCTGCAATCTAAAAATTAAAATATACAAAAGTTCAAAGAATATGCCTAAGAAACCAGCTTGCATTTCATACAGTGAAATGTGCTGAATTTTAAAATTACCTTAAAGTAATGCAACATGTTACACTATTTTAAAAACAGAACTTGCTCTGTATACTTTAATCAAAGAAATAAACTCATTAAATTAATATGTAGACAAACTTCGAAGGTCTCCGCCTTTAACTGGCTTTTACTCATAAACATAAATAGAAATTCAAGAAGAAAATAATGCTTAAAATCCAATATGCAAACTCATAAACTGTCACTCTTGTATCTTTCTTTCCCTTATACCTCCTACTATATAAACACATAATTCCTTTTTCTCATTTGGCCTTTTATCATAAAGGAAGGAATGTGCTAAGGTACTGAGAGTCCCCGGGTCAGCCCGACAAATGCACATCTCAGTGCGCAGGGCCCTCAGCAAGTTAGTTCTTTCTCTGAGCCACACATCCTTCCCCAGCAAACTTTCAGCTGATGAACTATACAACCTGCCCTTCTGTCCCTTCCCGTCTGGCAGAAGATCTGAGTGCCCATAAATGCTTTAAACACATGGTGTGCTGAGGACTTGTTTTTTTTGGTATTTCTTTTTAAGTTAATAAAAAAGTGGAAACATAAAGAGTCTGTGATCAAGTATTCTAGTTTTTTTCTTTCCTTTTTTTTTTTTCGGTGGTGCCGGGATCCAGCTCAGGGCTTCGAATATGTTAGGCAAGCACTCTGCCACAGAGCCACTGAGTTCCAGCCTAGGATTCTAGTTTTTTTTCAACTCAAGGGTTGAAAGACATTGTTAAGTCATGAAATAAGTTTCCCCTAAGAAATTATGAGGCTTCGATAGAGATATGTTGTAATTTGATCATGGTTCTCCCCCGCCTCCTTCCTTCCTGTGTCCTCTCTGTTCTTCCTTAAACTTCAAACATTTCTCTGGGAAGAAGGCAGTCTGATGTCCTTTCCTCAGCTGCTGGCAGCTTTCAGAATAAAGGAATTCTAACTTATCCTAACTCAGTATCAGTGTGAGGTTCGGTTTCCAGCTCCGGACATCCACACCCTCTTCTCTGTGGCCTGAGTTTTTAAAATGCAAATCAGATAAGTTTATTCTCTTGCTTCAAGCTCTACCGCACTTCCTGTCCCTATTAGGATAAAACCTAAATGGCCCAGCAGGACCCTGACACTCACCCTGCGCCAAGCTCCCTGAGAAGGTGCCGCCAGCCCCTTCTCTTCTCACCTCTGACTCATCTTCTAGATTTGGCCCCAAACAGGGCCTGGCACAAGTAATAGCTCAATTAGTGTATTTTGTATTAAACCAGATCATCTCTTTTTCCCATATAATTTATTATATTGTCTCAAAACTCCATAGTAAAAATAACCTACTATCCACTAATTTGGGGGGTTATTTTTTCCAATTATGGCTTAAAACATGTAACATTAAATTTACCATTTTAATCATTTTTAAGTATAATCCACTGTTATTAAGTACATTCACATCACTGTGCAAACATTCCCACTATCCTTCCCCAAGTTTTTATTATCACACACTAAAACTACGCCACCACGCAATAACCCCCCATTCCTCCCTCCCCAGCCCAATAACCACTGACCGCTCCAATTCCTGTCAATTTTTTCATCTATTGGTTTTATAGGTAATTGCTAATTTTTGCTGTTTTATTTTTAATAACAATTTCTGACAACATTTATTATACACAAAGTGCCACGTTCTGCCTTAAGAGTTACACACATTAATTAATACAATCCTCACAACTATTCTATGGGTAGGTAGCTTTTTCTCCTCCTATGGGTAATGAAATGGGCACAAGAGTTTATGTAGCTTGCAAAAAAAGAAAAAAGAAAAGAAATCACACAGCTGGTAAGTGGTGAGGCTAAGATTTATGCCCAGGCCGGCTATCTATAAGGCTGCCTCTTAGTGACCATAAACTGATGTTAGGTACTGGTGCCAAGAGTGTCTAATTATTTTTCAGATAGTAATGCAACTGCCTCACCAAAAATCTTGTTAAGTTTATAGTAGCTCCTCTTACTGCAGCTTTGAAAATTTTGAAGATTTATTTTCCAAATGAATCTTTATTAATTAACAAGTAAAATGGAGCTGTTCACAAACAGCTGACTTAAATAGGTAACTAGAACAGACAGCAAACTCAGTTATAAGAGAAATTTTATTCAACTATTCAAACTGGATCCTTGGGCCTTGTTAGTAAGAACGGCTCCATTAGCTTCTTCAGTAACTACAGCTCTCCAATTTACCATGCAATCCATAGAGATCAAAAGTTCTCAAGCCCTTTCCTAACAACTAGATGGTGTTTTTAAAAACTCTGCCTACCTGCCTGTCTATGTGTAAAACTGACTGTACATAACATAAGGCATCATAAACAAAGCTTATCAAACCTGGAGGTTCTGGAGAGGAGTAACAGGAACTTGCTGCTGTTGCTGCTGGAAACAGGCAAATCGGCTGTAAGGGGTTGATGATGGACAGGCTGAGGGAAAGTCATTCTTGACAACTGGAGTTCTAAAACTAGAAAAGATCATTTTTTTCCCCTTAATTTAAAATACAAAAATTTAAAAAACAATATTCTGATTAAGTTTTCATGTGTTTAAAAAGGCTGATATAAATTTTAAAGTGCTACATAAAACAGAACACAAATTAGTTTTTATATCATAGTGATATTTATTTATTCCAGCTACATCACCACCACATATTTTGAGGGAATTCTTTGTGAAATTAATTTTGGTCCTCAGACAAGAAATTCCTATTACTAAAATAAGTAAGATGGCATTTAAAAAATGGAGTGTTATATGAGAATTTAAGGTACAGACGTGATAACTGAGCAAAGACTCTGTGAGTGCTGTTGAATAACAATGTTCTGTAATGCTCTGCTAAAAATATCTAAAAGCCAATTACACCACAAGAAGTCTGGCCTTTACTTGTTCAGTATGTTCAGTACATACTAGCGCATGTCTCTTACCTTGCCTGCTACCCATTACCTTGTCTGTTCCACATCTAGAACAGTACTTGGCACAAAAGATGTCTGTAAATATTAACAATAATCTAATATCACGAGAAATATCTACATCATTAATTTAGTTAGCAATCATTCTTTAAAATATTCTACATAGAGTAAAATGAGGCAATATATAGCAAAATTGTATTAAATAGGTAATTCTTTGGTTATAAAAGGAGGCCAGTTCTAATTAAGATCAAAGATTACATTATAAAAACAAAAAGCCAAAGACATTGGGGACCTAAGTTATCACCTATGTCATTAAAAATATAGCCACCAGCTGAAGATGATGTACCACACCCCTTTCTTTTTATTTTTGTAATACTCCTTGTGTTTCCTGTTAATGAGCACTGATCATTCAATTTCTTCATTCATCCCTTAGTCCTATCTATTCAAGTCTTACTACTTTGAACACCTTCAGAACTACGTGAATTATAAACCAACCTCTTCCAAAAAGCTATCATATTCCAATTAATATTTCTCATGACAAAATATTTATCCATCCTCTATCCACTCTAGGAACGCTAACCTTCCTTTAAAATATCTCTAAGTAAGAGAGGTATCCAAGAGGCAAATGCATTATCAAGAAAGGTTGCTTCCTTAGAAGGTATATAGGTTGTAAATACAAATATGACATTACTACATTCATAATAATCCTTTATAATATTAATATACAATATTAATATGTTACCGTTACCACTTTCCCCTTCATATTTTACAGATGAAAAACATGATATTCAGAAAAATAATTTGCAAAATCTAACAGAACAGGAGTTAACCCCAGATCCATTTGGCCTCAAAGCTCATCTTATTTCTATTTTATCATCCTGAGTCCTGAACTAGGTACCAAAAGTAATTACCAGCTCATGTAATCATCCAAGGTATTGTTACTTGGTGTCTGACAAACAGATTTTGGATCAATCCATTTAGGCACTGATAAGGGTGGCGACTGCTTTGAAACTGAAAAGACAGGTTGTTTGACAGTGGTATGCTTCTGCTAAAAGAAAATTTTAAATGTTTTAATTTAGAATTTTTAAATTAGTAACCTGTTCAATAACTTAACATTATAATCTTTAAAATAACAAATATGAAAAACAAAATCATACTAAAACAGACAAGCATATGTATTATAGACTTTCATTAATTTTTTAGTATAGCTCTGAACTTTCAAATTTAACATATTTTGCTCAAAATAATTATAAGTGAAAGGAAGGAGCACAAAATTGTTTTAACAAGATCAGACTTAACATCCTCCCCCCAGAGCCTGGTAAGAGGTATTAAACTTTTTATAATCTCTAACAGAAGGGGATGGGGGTCTAGCTCAGTGTTAGAGCAAATGCTTAGTATGCATTAGGACTTGAGTTCGAGCTCAGCACCAAAAAATAAATAAATAATTTCTTAATCTATAAAAGTACATTTCACAAGTGAGGCAAATACTAATGAGTTAGCAAAAAACAGAACAGCAAATGCCTATCTGTGTTGTTCTCTCTCGAAAGACACACAGCACCTAGGCAATTCATCTCAGACAAATCCCAAAGGATGATGAATGCACATCCTTAATAGTTGGGATTAGAAAATGACAGGCTAATGGCTGAATCTGGTCACCTACTTTTTTTTTTGGTACTGGGGATCGAACTCGGGTCCTTGCGCCTGCACAGCAGGCGGGAAAACCACTGAGCTAAATCCCCGGCCCTGGCCACCTACTTTTGTAAACCAACTTTTATCAGAATACAGGATGCTCACTTGTTTACACACGGTCTCTGGCTATTCTCAGCCTCTAATGGCAGAGTTCAAAAGTTACGACAGAGACCACCTCGCCTGCAAAGCCTACTCACCCTTTCCATGAAGTTTACAAACCCCAACTCATCTCAACCAAACAGAACACCATATTTTGCTTGAAAATATGTACTAACTAAGCACTCTGTCTACAGAAGTTCACTTCAATTTGGGGACAGCTTAACTTACTTGTATGTATTTCTAGTTATTTAGAGTAAACTGATTTCACTATTAAAATGTGCTCTTGAGAGCTACAGTAGATCAATCTATTCTACTTTGTATACTGCAGTCCTCTTAAGTTTTGAAGATAACTAATAAATCTCTTTTGCTGGATAAATTTAAGACTTTCTCATGCATATGCATATGTGTATACAGAGACACTCTAAGATTAGTGGTGAGGATGTGATTGAGAAACTGCTATAGTAAGATTATTGAGCAAGAAAAATGGAAAAGATAGTGATCATACAATGGGATATTTGCATTTAACTTTTTGGAGGTCAGAAATGAGAATATGAGGGGTGGTTAAAGTTAAATTAAAGAAATAGTTGAGAGGAAACAAGTTATGACTCTGAAGCTGGCTGTAGGACTACTGATACACAGAGGTATAGAAGTCAGGAAACAAGGGCAGTTGTTGAGCTTTGTGTGACCCAGAATGATGGAGCGTCCCTAGGATTTTCAGAGATGATAGCAATGAGTAAGGAATGGGACCGTGCATCTGCAAAGCAGAATCGTCAACAGAGCAGGCCTTTAGCAAGAAAGAGAGAAATAGGCTGGACATAGCAATGGGGATTTCACAGACATACAACAAGTGAGATGTGACTCAAAAAGAACTATCCCTTGAGAGGGTCAACAGACAAGCAGCGACTCCAAGCAGCTGGCTAGTATTTTTTCTCCCTCAGTGTACTTTCCAGTAATGTTCAGTGTATTAACCACTATCAAACTTCAGTGGCATTATTCTTACTATAATTACTTCGAGAAAATACTTATTTTTTCGCCAGATGTGGTGACACGCACCTGAAATCACATCACCCTGGAAGGGTAAGGCAAAAGGATCACAGCCTGAGCAATTTAGCGACCTACCAAGACCTTGTCTCACATTTTTAAAAAATTTTTAATTAAAAAAACCAAAAAAATAAATAAGGGCTGAAGGCACAGTGGGTTTGAGTGCTAGAACTGCAAAGGAGAAAAGAGTTGTGTATTTATATTCACATGTAATATATTTACATTGGTTATTTTTAATCAACATTTTTTAAATGTCTGATTTTGCTTCCTAGTAAACAGAGAAAAATATAATCCATGTAAACCAAAGTCCTTTAGGGCCCTCAATAATAAAAAATGTAAAGGGATCTGGGAAGCAAAATGTGTGAGAATCACCAAGTTAGAATACAAGGCCTTCCTTCCACTGAAGGAGTTGTAAGGAAAGTCTGACCACGGCTACACAGATGGCTTTCCATAGCTGCCAGACTGTTCCTTCTAGTTGTCTTTTTTTCTTTTTCTTTTTTTTGGTACCAAGGATGGAACTTGGGTCCTTGTGCTTGCGGGGCAGGCGATGGAACCACTGAGCTAAATCCCCGGGCCAATATTTAAGGTTTTTAAAAAAATTTTTTATTTTTTGTTTTTTTTGGTACCAGGGAATCAAACTTGGGTCCTTGCGCTTGCGCAGCAGGTGGCAAAACCACTGAGCTAAATCCCCGGCCGCACAGACTGTTCCTTCTAAAATAGCCCCTGGGCATGACCATTCAATGTGCTACAAATTCAAGTCAGCATAGTGGTGCATGTCTGTCATCACAGTACTCTGAGAGGAGGCAGAGGCAGGACGATCACAAGTTTGAGCCCAGCCTGGGCCCCTTAGCCACTGAAGGAGACCTGTCTTAAAAATGAAAAATAATAAAGGGCTAGGAGTGTAGCTAAGGCCCCTAGGTTCAATGCCCAGTATTGCAAACAAACAAAAACCAAAATGCTACACATTTACATATACTATCTATTAAGATATTTTTCCATTTTTGTTGATAAGGATGACCGGTAAATCACCAACACAGCATTATACTAGTTCAGAGATTAGCACATGATTTTCTGCCAAGGACTGCATAGTGAACATCTTAGGCTTTGCAGGTCTATGATTTCCACTGCAATTGCTCAACTTTGATTTTAAGGGGCAAAAGCAGCTTCAGATAAGTAAAGAAATGAGTGTGGTTGTGTTTCAATAAAACTTTACTGACACAGGCTGGGAACTAGATTTGGACCACAGTCTAAAGTATGTGTTTGCCAATCCCTGCATCAATAAACTATTTCATGAAACATGGCACGTAAGATTTAACAAAAGAAAATAACATGATCATCAAAGTTTAGAAATGCATTATGAATGGGCTGATGATTTAGCTCAGTGGCACTGCACCTGCCTTGTAAGCACAAGGTCCTGAGTTCAATCCCCAGTACTGGAAACAAAAAGAAAAAAAGAGAAATGTATTATGAATAACTGCAATATCGTACTTAAAGGAAAAAGAAAATTACCTCTGTATCAACCTTTGGGGTTATGTCTGCAATATGCCACTGATTTGAAAGTACAGCAGGATTCTGGTTCACACATTCTGACTTTCTCTTAGATTGCCATTGTTTCTGGGTACTTTCTGGAACCTTTGGTTCTTGAGGCTCCTTGGTTTCTGAAATTACATTTGTTGTTGTCATTAAAAAGCAAGAATACTGGGTAATAACAAAGGCGGGGCACGATGAGACCTACATGTGATCCCTGACACAAACTGAGATGGGAAAACCACTGGAACTCATGGATTCAAGGCCAGCCTGGACATCATACCAAGATTCCGTATCAAATAAAAACAAAAACAAACTAAGCCTAAATAATAAAACATGTTATAAACCACACAGTGTAATAACTATTGCTATTCTTTTATTATTTGATTATCAATTTTTTCATAAATTTAAAACAACACAAATAAACACAAATAGGTGGGCATGTAATTCCAGTTACTCAGGAGTCTGATGCAGGGTAATTTAGTAACGTCTGTCTCAAAAATAAAAAGAAAGAAAAGGCTGCGGATAGCATTATAGTTCCTAGTACTGCAAAATAAAATGCAACAAACAAAAAGAAAACCCACAAAACAAAAAACCACATAAAATAAAACCTAAAAGCTTTAAGCCAGCTATTGACAGTTTGCTTCTACTAAAGAAATTTTACAAAGCATTTTCTTATAGGTTCAATTAGATTTCAATTGTTTCTATTTTTTAAAAAGTAGAAACTGGCTGGGGATTTGCTCAGTGGTTTCGCCGCCTGCTGTGCAAGCGCAAGGACCTGAGTTCGATCCCCGGTACCAAAAAAAAAAAAGGATTAAAAAGTAGAAACTGATACATAGATTCTCATATTTATATGGAAACTCAAAAGGCCTAGAATAGCCAAAATATATATATATATTTTTTTGGTACCGGGGATTGAACTCGGGTCCTTGCACTTGCACAGCAGGTAGCCAAACCACTGAGCTAAATCCCCGGTTAGCCAAAATATTTTTAAAGAATAAAGCTGGATGATTTACACTAACAGGCACCAAGACTTAACTGCAGTAGTGAAGACATTATTGACATAAAGACAAAATTTACTATGGAACAAAGAATCCAAACACAGACACCTACACAGAATCACCTTATCTACAAAAATTCAGAAAGATGATCTTTTCAATAAATGCTACTGGGATATAGATATACACTTGAGGAAAAAAATAAATCTTGACCCTGGATCTTCCACATACATAAATATGAAATTCAAGTAAAACAAATCTAAATGTGAAAAATAAAATGATAAATCTGAAAAAATATGAAAATATATTTATGACCTTGGAGCACAGAAAGATTTGTTTAAAACCACAGAAAGTTGGGCAGAGGATTTAGCTCAGTAGCACTGCGACTGCCTTGCATGTGCAAGGTCCTGGGTTCAATCCCTGATATCAAATGAAAAAAACAAACACAAGAAGTACTCACCACATACACAAAGGCTGATCAAATAAAATACATTAAAATAAGAATTTATCATCAGAAGTCTTCACCCCAAAATGGGAAGTCACTTGGTTTTTTTTTGAAACAGGGTCTCACTACGTAGTTCAGACTGGCTGTGAACTCACTATGTGGCCTAGGCTGGCCTGGAACTTGCAGTGATCCTCCTGCCTCAGCCTCTCCCAGTCCTGGGATTATAGGCGTGTGCCACCACACCTGGCAGGAAGTTGGGTTTTTTTAATTAAGTTTATTGGTACATTTTAGGTATACATTATGATCACATTCATCATTAGGTATTTGCACCTATACATGGTGTATCTTGGTTCTTGTTTTTTCCCAGTTCCTCTTCCCTCCTTTCTATCCCTCCACCCCTCCTTATTTGGAAAAAACTTTGTTTCCATTTTTTTCTTCTTTTCTCATCATTTTTTCTTTCCCTTCTTTCCTTCCTCCTACTCCCCCCCACCAACTTCCCCTTCCTCTTTGGACCTTTTCTTCCAATTTCACATTATCTATCATACATTTTGGTTCTCATTTACACGTTCAGTTTCTCACAACAGAGAAACTATTCGGTATTTACACATGTGTGTCCTATTTATTTTACTTAAGAGTCTGGCCTCAATGTGCATCCATTTAGCTATAAATGTCTCTAGCTTATCATTCTTTATGCCTGAATAGTACTGCATTTTATAAAAAACCGTATCGTCTTCATCTAGTCACCAGTTGATGGGCATTTGAGCTGTTTCCAAGATTTTGCTATTATAAACTGTCCCACTATGAACATGGATGCACATATATCACTGTTGTATGATGCTTTAAATTCCTTTGGAAGTTACTTGTAATACATATATCCAAAAGAGATTTCTATAAGTCATATAAATACCTCTTAAAAAAAAAAATCAATGAGGGCTGGAGGTATCCCTCAGTGGAAGAATGTGTGCTCAGGTTGCCCAAGGCCCTGGGTTCCTCCCCAGCAACACACACACACACACACACACGCATGCCAATGAGAATAAAAAAGAAAACCCAATAGGAAAAATGAGCAAGATTCGATTGTTTCAAAGAGGATATCCAAATGATGAATAAGATGCTCAATAGCAGTATCTGAATGCCTAAAATTAAAAACTGACAATACAAAGTCAGAAGAAAAATGCTGGCCAAGAGTCCTACAATCACTTTGGGTACTTTGGCACCAGCTATCAAAGCTGAGCTTATGCATACATTCTATTACAGCAATTCCACCATTTGGGTAAACTGGAGCATATTCATACAATGAAGTACATGATTAGCCAGGGCGGTGCAGTGGTAGCTCCGCCTCCCACACCCACCACCATCTAGTCAAACACGCCTGTAGGCCAGGCAAGGTGGTACATGCCATTATTCCCAGTACTTTGGGCCTGTGACAAGAGGATCCCAAGTTCTACCCTGGGGAACTTGGCGACCTATTTCAAAGCAAGAAACAAAACAGGGCTACGGATGTAGATCAGCATGAAGGCTCTGAATTCAGTCCCCAGTACCTGGCGGGGGGGAGACACAGGACAGGAGGGCACAACACACTAAACACAACAACAACAAAAAACCCCAAACCCCTGTATCAAGTGTTACTTGCACTTAAATCACTTGGCAAGTGAAACACATCAATTACCACCAATATTTCAACCTAACTAGGCATGTGCGCCTGTGAAGATATGCATTTATTGTTATTAAGGAAACATGTAAATTTTCATATTGAATTACTAAACCTAGGCTCATGATGTTATTTCATAAAATAATTTAGTACGTTAAAATCCACAAAAGGAAGTTTTGTTACTTATCTACACTATATTCTACTGGTCCCCCTAAATTCCTCTTTACTTGGTGTGGACCAGACAAGCCAAAAGGTTGGGCACCCAGACTATATAGCAAGAAATAGCAAGAAATTAGACACTCTGGTAACAAGAACGAGGTCCATAAACAGTGGTGAATGAAAGAAGCAGATACAATAGAACAGACTATTTCATTTTAGGTTGTTAGAAATCAGAAAGGTGATTACACATGGAAGAAGAGAGGTATTGATTGGGAGGGGACTAAGTAGGCTATCGGGGTGCTAGAAATGTTGTTTCTCGATTAGAGGATCAGTTACAAATGTGGATTCATTTGTGATATTGCACTGGGCTGTACTAGTGATTTGGGTGATTTTCTATTTTACTACAGATTGAATTATATTTGGTAGTGGGGGTGGGGAGAGGAAACGGCACACACCAGTATACTCCACACATGGGAGGCTGAAACAGAAGGATCAAAAGTTTGAGCCTAGCCTTGGCAACCGCAAGACATTGGCTCTGGGTTTAATTCCCAAGGCTAAAAAAAAAAAAAAAGAAAGAAAGAACTAAGGAAGTAAATAATAAAGTACAGTATATTGCACTCAATAAATATTGAAAAATATTAAATTGGTGTCAAACAAGTAGCATTAATAAGCACACATGATAAATAACTCACATCAATTTTAATAGCTATCAAAAAATATAAAATATGAATTCCACTAAATATTAGGAATAGGAATTTGATCTAATCAAAATAATGGTTTAAGAAAAGACTATTACAGTGTGACAAACAGCCCTATTTGCTTGCAACTGAGGCTTTCCCAGGACATTGGACTTGGAGGATTAAACGCAGGAAAGTATAAGTCAAATGATAAGGCAAGACTTGCCTTGTCCCAAAGTTCCTTCTCAGCCTTATTTTGACAACTTGAGCCTGGACATAAGCATTCTATCAATAATCTTGTGTAAAAAAAAAAAAAAAAAATCTTAAATAGTATCTTGCAAGCTAAAAAAAAAAAAAAAATTAAGATGGACATTCAAAATTTACCTAGCCTTACTTCCAACTTCTAAACTACTTGTGTTAGTTTTCAGCATGACTAGACAGTCTGTTGTTCCTAAAATGTTTTATTCCTTTGCCTAAGCTATTCCCTCCAAAATTATTACTGTGATTTCCCCATTTAAATCCTAACCTTCAAATTTCTTCTCCACAAACTACTTCCTTATTTTCCCCAAACTAAATTAGTTTCTTACTTTTCTGATTTCATTTATGAGGCTCCCATAACAATCTCTATATTCCACCCAGCATTATATTTATATACCTCCATTTATCTCCCCTAATTGAATTACAACCTCATTGGAACATTGTCTCATTCATTTATATATCCTAGAACATTTATTATAGTACCCACGTGGAGGAAAATCATGTCTAATAAAAGATGAGACAGAGTGCTATCATATAAACAGCTTCTGTCAAGTCAACAGTGAAAAATAATTTAGTTCTACTGTATTTCCCCCCTTTCTTCTTTTTATGCATCTTCTAGGCTAACAAACTCCCTTTGCTACAAGAATCAGTATTTTACATACCCTCTATATGCTTCTGCTGAAACACAAGACAAAGGAAGATTGCCTCATATCACGATTCTTAGCTATTTTCCCAAACTATGAAGTGGTCTTCCTACCTGAAGAAACAAGTATTGATTCTGTCAGTCTCACCTTCTAATTTAGTTAGAAGATTTGATTCAGCTTTATTCTTCAGAGTTACTGAATCGGTATTAAGTTCAAAACTCTTTTCATCTGATACCAGAGATTCCTTCGAATGGATATTCTGAACAGACTGCATAAAAAAAAAAGATATGAAAAAATAAAGTCCTATTAAGAGTAGTAGTGCTCTTCTTCAACATATTAAAGTCTCATCTGTGTCAAGATTGCTAGCACACTTATGTATTATACTTACACGTAGATTCAAACTCCTAGAAATATTAACAGCCTGAATTATTATTTAGAAAACTGGGAAGGGCCTTGACCATAAATTTGTCCAATTTGCTTTCAATGGACATATTATTCAATTGCTAAAATACATTTCCCTTAAAGAGATAAAGTTAGAAAGTTTGAATCCAACACAGAACGAGCCTCACAACAGATGAAATTTAACTATTTTGCTAATGATTGTATTTTATCTCTAAAAATAACAGCATTCATAAAAATTAACATTTGTAACCCCAAGACAGTAATTATTCTTTTGTTTTTTTAAGAGTCTCCCTATGTAGCTCAGGCTGGTCTTGAACTCATGACCATCCTCTCAAATGCTGGGATTACAGGTATGCTCCACCACACCCACCTAGACAGTAATTATTCTAAATCTAGAGAGGAAACTTTTTGCCACAAATAAGCACTATTCTCTAAAAGAGCCAGGATTAGAAAAACTTAATATTTTGAATCTAAGACCTTGGAAGCATGATGTACTACATGATTATAAATTTGAAAATACATATATCATGATGGCAGAGGTTTAGGTCAAGTATCATAATAGTAACAAACCTTACAGCAATCACAGAGCACCAAGAACTAAAGTTACCACCTGTCTTTGAAGTTCTCACAGTTTCTCTGCTTTATCAGGTCAGGTTTGGTTACTTATCCCCTCAACTCTGCACTAATATTTTTCTTTTTTTTCTTTTTTTTTGGTACCGGGGATCAAACTTGGGACCTTGTGCTTGCGAGGCAGGTGCTGGAACCACTGAGCTAAATCCCCGGCCCTCTGCTCTTTTCTTAATGTCTTATCAAAATCATATGATTAAACATTATCAAGAAAAAGAACCTAGGGTAACAGCTCCCCCCAGCTATTCCCACATCCAGGGCAACTAATCTGCTTAAACCTATGCCTAGTAAATGTTAATCCATGGTTCTCCCAAGAGATAGCTGGCCCTTGTTCTACACCTTCATCTTTGAGAAGCATCATCCACGACTTTCGTTCCACTTCCCGTTGGTGGTCCTGTATCTCATCTCAGGGCCACCTGCAGATAGGTAAGCCTCGGGCCCTTTCCCCAGAAAAAGCTACATGAATCCAAGATCAGGAATACTTATTTTATATAAATATTGAAATATTGAAATACCTTTAAATTTCTCACTTCACAAGAATTATTTCCATTTGGTTTAGATGTGGGCATAATCACATCTCGACATTCTGATCCAGAGATCTGCCTGTTACCCATGAAACAAAATAATTTTAATGTTTAATTTGAAATTAATCTTTGAAGTGTATCTTTTTTTCATTTTAAAGTTGGCTTTTTAACAACAGATGTATTTTTAAATTGGAAGAATCACTCAAGCCATTTTTAAAACTGGTATGATTCTAATACAAAAGTGACTAAGCTAGAAAATTAGGCACTGGCCAATGACAAAAGCAATAAGGAGATACCTATCAATGTCTTCGTTACCCAGTAGTTAACAGCTACAGTTACAGTAAGAATGTAGCACAGTGTAAATATGTAGGTGAAACTACACTTCAGCTTACAAATAGCTTAAGAAGCAGAGAATAGGGAACTCTTTTGTGGGCCTCCATACACCTAGCTCAAGGCTATCCTAACAGGTAGGAAGAATACAGTTGGAGTTTTGGGGCATTTTTGTTGTTTTGAACTTATTGTTTTGGAGTGAGAGAAAGTCTGTTTCACATTTCATTTATACTGGTATTTGAAATGCAGGACCAAAATGAAATGATAAAATCATGGAGTTTTCCCAGCACAGTGGTCCATACCTATAATCCCAGCACTCTGGGAGGCCTAGGCAGGAGGATCACAAGTTTGAGCCCAGCTTGTACAACTTAGAGACTTAGCAAGATCTTATCTGAAAACAAATTTTTTTTTTTTAAAAAAGGGCTGTGGATGTAGCTCAGTGCAACAGCCCTGGGTTCAATCCCCAGTAGCACAAAAAGGGGGTGGTACTTAATCAAACTGCCCTTTTAATACCAATATTTCTTTTTATTTTTTTGGTACTGGGGATTGAACTTGGGTCCTTGCGCTTGCGCAGCAGGCGGCAAAACCACTGAGCTAAATCCCCGGCCCTTAATACCAATATTTAGTTAAGGCCTAAATGTAAAAGGACTTTAATTACTGAAGACACCAAGTAAAAACAATCAGTTGTATTTTTCTCAAGTTTATTTGCAAAACAATTCTTTGGAATACAAAAGGATTTTTCCAATATAAATAATATTATACATGGTGGTTAGAGTGAAGAATAAACCAGAGATTCGATCCCCGGTACCAAAAAAAAAAGAATAAACCAGAAAAGCTCTTCTTTAGTTGAACTAGACTACTATATTCCCAATTCTTATAAGGGAATAAGCATCCAAATTAATAGAAGGGGAACATACTGATGTGATGAACAATATTTCACTACCTACGTTGTCCCATTTTTCTTGAGACAGGGTCTCGCTATGCTGCCCAGGCTGGCCCTGAATCCTGGGGCTCAACAGATCCTTCTGGTTCAGCCTCCACAGCAGCTGGAACTAAAGGGATGTACCATCTCACCCAGTCATGAATTAACTTATTCTCTTTATTTTCTCAGTGCAGAGATTGAACCCCAGACCTCATGCATATTAAGTAACAAAGCTGAACCTCCTGCTGCTATCCCATTTCTTGAAGCTATCAACTCTGAAGCAAGGATGAACTTATCATCTTTCCCACCAAGAGCGAGGTGGACAAAACACTGTCCCACAGATCATCTGATTTCCCTGACACAGACCCTCAAATGCACTAGGAAGAGAATCTTACCAGAGAGGTTACCATGAGTAACAATCTCCAAGGCGAGGAGTTTTAACTGTAGGGATGTTGCATCCCTTTAACCTTCATGTTCACTTAATCTTTTTCTAACATGTTTTCCTAATTCTTTCTTAGTTCCTTTCGTGAGTATTTTCATTGAGGGAAAATAGCAAAAAAGATCATTTTCTCTACTCATTTATTTTCCTAGAGAAAGCATTTAGAAGCTCAGTAACTTCTAGTAATAATATCTAGTGATAATTAGTAATTAATAATAATTACTGTAACTTGGTAAAAGATTTAAGACCATTCTTCCATCAATCTTTAAATACAAATTAAAAAGTTAAAACTCAAACATACCTTTTTGCAAAACTTGGCATAACTGATCCATCTGTCTTCACTTGATAAACTGGGCTATTTAGAAGGTTTACTGGGACTCTTCCAAATGGGCAAGACTAAAAATATTTTGAAAGATTTAAGTAACCAACTGAGAAAAAAAGTCTTCACTACTATTACCTTAATCAAAATAGAGTGAGAACAACTTACCCGTTTAGTTTTGTTAGTTTGTTTCAAGGGATTTCGATGACCTACTTCTGCATCTTGTGGGGGAATACTGTCTCTAAAAGGAAAGAAAATACCTCCAATTTTCCAAAGAGTAATATTAAAATGTATTTCCATTTTACTCCTAAGCATTGTAACTATACTTACATGAATATACATCTACGTGTGTCTAGTTATGTAAATGATGAGCAGGTAAGGGAATGATTCAATTTTCTTACCCATACAAAAACCTGGTTTTAGTGGCCGGCCCTCTGGAATCACAACTGATGCTTCTATTCTGTAAAGGTCCAAGTGAACTGGAGAATGATTCTTGGGAAGTCAATCCTGTAGATGCTGTAAAAATTTAAAAACCATGATTAAATTTGTAAAGACATAAGGGATACACACAAAAATAATCCTATAAATAAGAATACCCGCAAAGTCAATTTAAAATAAATATTTGCCCACAGGTAAGGTGTGTAAACATGACATGTTAATAAAATAATTCAAAGCACTGTAACTCTTCAAATTGTCTTTAAATGTATAACTGTCTTTCCTGAGCAAAAGTACATTCTCTATTTCTAAAAGCAAAAAGCCATTCTCCTGCTTATTTGATTAGGGAAAAAAAAGATAAATTTCAACAAGGTTGTAAAGACCATTTTACTTCTAAAAAATCTTACCTCCTTTATATTTATAATTTAATGTTAAGATTTTGACCATTCTACATAAATGGAATTTTTCTTTGATATTATCCTGAACCCTTGTTTGCAGTATTACCCACCACAGAAAGTATTAGCACACATTAATAGTTACCTGATAAACTTTTCTTTTCCTCCTCTGAAAGCAGCTGCTTTTTTTGGAGGCTTAAATTATGCAAGGCAATTTCCAGCATTTCTAGTGGTACTGCTCCACAATCTACAGCTTTATGGAGAAGCTGTTTGCTTTTTTTGAAATTACCTAACAAATAGAAAATAATTATCATTTTATGCAGCACTCACCTTCAACCTCAGTCATCAGGACCTAAGAAAAAATTTAAAAGACTAAAGCAAAAATATTTCTCAAAGATTTATGCACTTTATCCCACAGACAACTCTCTCCATTCTCTTGCATATAATCAATTCTGATAACAATTCATGTCAAAATAGTTTTGTTGTATAATACAGAATTGACATGAGATTAGTTATAGTTTAATGAAGCGAAACAAAAGAAGCAAAGGTCAAAGGTAGCAGTGAGAAACAAGGGGGAATTCTAGATGTTAAAGTGTCCTGAGAGCAACAGTCTTTAACGACACACTCTTAAGAAGCATCTCTCACAGTACCATCTCGTCAAGAATAGGTTGGCATTTTTCATCAAAAAGATTTTTATAAAACAGAAAAATTAAAATCATGATAAAGATTAAACTTTAGCTATCAGACTTACACTATTCTCAAAATTTAAAAAAAAGATATAGAGATAATTAACTTTCTGACTACAGATAATCGAACAAATTTCTTTCAAACCCAAACATCACTAGTATGTGACATAAATATTAAATATATAATTTATGTCATATACCTTATTGAAGGAATGTGCTATGAACAGTCCTGGGAGCTGCTGAGCTGTGATGCTATGTGCTTAGTATTTAAAGATGATAAAGAGATGCCCTCTAATCGCTGACAGTTTACAAATTTTTAAAGAATGTGAACATATTTGACAGTGGTTAAATCCACACATGTGTTGAGAGTAGAGGGAAAATTTCATGTAACTGTTTTAGGACAACAAAAGAAAAGACTTAATTTGAGAGAATATTAAATAGACCCCTTTGAAAATCTGCTAAAAACTCTAGAATGTCCTCTATTTCTACACACACACACACACACACACACACACACAAACACACACACACACACCCCAAACGTGCATGGGATTTCAGGGACACTGTATATTTCCTGACAGCCTATCAACCCTGCTCAAAATAATCACACTTTTGACCTTAAGGATACTATTACATTTTAGCGCTATGAATTTTCTTTTTATAGACAACTCAATTTAAGATTTTCAATATTTTTTAAAGATGTAAAATTTGTAGGTGCTGCTGAGAAGACAGAATATGCAAAAAAAAGTTTAAATGGAATGGAGAAATAGTCTTAAAGCCTTGCCCAAAAATATTCTAACAAGCAAGAATGAGGAATCAATTTTTGTAGGTAGGAATGAGATGATTTTATAAAAAGTAATTTGACAGTGCACAGGATAGACTAGAGAAGATTCAGATTACTAGGACTCAGAAATCAATTATACAGGTAAAAGTTCAGGGTTTTCAAATCACTGCCGAGTTGTACAATTTCCCCCAATTTCAGTCCTAAAGAATTCTCTCTAGTGAACCTGACCAACTTTAAGTACCGCCATGATTCTGTAAATAGGGATGTGTTTACCACAGGCTGGTAAATGAGATCCAAATTGTAGCACAAACAAGGTAGAGGGAAAATAGGAAGACTTGGCCAGAGAGTAGGCTGAAGCTATACTCAAAGACATCAGAAAATGAAAAAAAGACAAAGAAATTGCTAGGCTAAAAATATCTGAGGAAGACAGATATCTTGGCCTTACTAAAAGGCCCAGACTATGAAAACCATATTCAAGAACCAAAGTTTTTATAGCAGTTTTATTTTTTAAAGAACTACAATTAAATTTTAAATCTATATCTTTAATATATATTTGGTGTTATGAAACAATAGCTTAAGAAAATCTTAATGTACATATCTTATGTCCTTCATTGTACAAATCTCAGTAAAGAAGTTACTTTCCATTATATGTCCCCTGAACCTAACAGCACAAATAATGTTCATTTCTGTAGATTATTCTTTATACATAGATGAGCTGAAGAATCCCACCTGGACCAAAACAGCGTAGGTGCTCCCCTCCTAGCCAGGGCCCCACCCAGACACCAGCAGCTTGGGCCTACCTAGAAAACAGCTACACAGGCACAAAGGTAACAGCCAGAGGCCTGCCCAGACACCATCCGTAAGTACACAGTTCTCATCGAGAAACCAGCATGAACCACAGGGAACAGCACAGTGGAGGGGTGGTGGGGGAGAGGTCCCAGTCAGGGACCTGCCCAGACACCAGCAACTTGGGCCCAAAGGCCCCAGCCAAAGGTTTGCCTGGAAAACAGCTGCTTGGCTGGGTAAACAACAGCCAGAGGCCTGCCCATATACCATTAGTAAGTGCAAGCAGACCCCAGCCAGAAGCCTGCTCAGACACCAGTGACTCCAGTGGACAGTCCCCAGTCAAAGGCCCACCCAGACAACAGGTACACAACGGAGCAGGCCCGAGCCAGAGGCATGCCCAGATACCATCCCAAGTGTACACAGGCCCCAGCCAGAACCCCACCAGGAAAACAGGGCAGAGCAGAGGTCCACAAGACCACCATTCCAAACCCAGGAATTGGCCCAGTGGTGATCAACAGAGAGAAGGCCTCTTGGAGGCTTACGGAGAATTAAAGACCACTAGGTGAGCAAAACGTAGCTTCAATAAGGGCACAGCAAGCTACATCTGTTGAAATAAAAAGACATGGAACAAGTAACAAAACCAGACTTCCTGATCACCTAAGGCAACCCCAAAGGGCAACGTGATGGAACAATCTGATACTCAACCACCTGGACTCCCTGAACTGGCAATGAAAGGGGATCTGGAAAAAATGAAATCAGAAATAATTTCTCAGACAAAAACAGAGATTGTATCCATAGTGCAAGACATGATTAATAACTCTAGGGCAGACACAGATAAAAAAATAGAAGAGCTGAGGAACATGATGGAATCCCAGCATAGGAAACAAACAGAATCCATAAAACAGATTCAAACAGATATCCAGGAGATTAAAAACTCCATTGAAAGTATTCGCAGAAGAATGACCCAATGTGAAGACAAAACATCAGATATAGAACACAGGACTGCAATTAGCAACCAAGAAAAGAAAAATTTCTTAAAAATAGTAAGGGACCACAAGAAATCAATCCAGCAGCTGCGAGATGATGCAAAGAATAACATAAGGCTGATCGGAGTCAATGAAGAAACAGGAGAGTGTACAAATGACATTAAAAAAACCAAAAACTATTCAACTGTTCATAGAAGTAATGGCAGAAAAGTTCCCAGGCAGGAGAAAAGAATTTCACATATAGATAAGTAAGCGAGGCATATAAGACTCCAACTAGCCATGATCAAAAAAAAAAACCAAACTACACCTAGGCGGCATATAATAGTTAAGATTCCAGAAACCCAACAGAAGAACAAAATTGTACAAGCAGTTAGAGAAAAGAAACAAATCACATACAAAGGAAAGCCCATCAGAATCACAGAAGACTTCTCAACACAAACCTTCAAGTCAAGAGCCTGGAGTGAAGTATGTCAAGCCTTAAAAAAAAACAACCTATAACCCAAACTGACGTCCCCTGCAAAACTATCTTTGAAAATTGATGGAGAAATAAGATACGTTCATGACAAAGAGCACCTTAGGAACTTCATAAATACCAAACCAGCACTCCAAAAAATTTTAAGCAATATCCTAGGAAAACACAATGAGGATCACAACCCCAGGGAGCACAGCAGAATGAATCCATCAAGCAAGACAAAAAATTAAATGCAAAGGGGGTGAATCCAACAACAAGAAAAGGTCATGACAAAGATAAGTCAATACACATCAGTTATAACCATTTGTTAATGGTCAAAATTCACCAATCAAAAGAAGTAGACTGGCAGAGTAGATCAGGAAGCAAGATCTAACAATATGCTATATATAAGAAGCACACTTGGGCTGGGATTTAGCTCAGTGGTTTCGTTGCCTGCTGTGCAAGCACAAGGACCCAAGTTCGATCCCCAGTACCAAAAAAAAAAAGAAACAACAACAACAACAACAAAAAAAACAAAGACACACTCTTAAATCAAAAAAGAAACTCATAGACTGAAAGTTAAAGGGTGGAAAACAATACTCCATGTGACAGGAACCCGAAAAAAAGCAGCAGTAGCTATCTTCTTTGCAGATCAAGTGGATTTCAAACCAACACTGATTAAGAGACACAAAGAAAGACATTACATCCGTGTAAAGAGAACAATCCAAGAGCAAGAGATGACAATCATAAATATATATACACCAAGTACTAGTGCACCCAACTGTATAAAACAAATACTAATGGACATGAAAAATCAAATAAGCACTAATACAATAGTAGTGGGGGACCTCAGTACCCCACTGTCACAAATAGATAGATCAACCACAAAAAATGAACAATAAAACATTAAAACTCAATCAAACTCTTGAACAAATGGACTTAACAGATGTTTACAAAGTGTTCCACCTCACAGAATCAGAATACAAATTCATTTCGGCTGCACACGGGTTGTTCTCCAGAACATGTTCTCACAGAACATGTTTAAGTAAGTGGAAAGGAACTGAAGTTATCCCGTGTATATTATCAAACCATAGTGCAATGAAAATGAAGATCAATACCAAAAGAAACCTCAGTACTTTCATAAACACACAGAAAGTAAACAACACACTTTTAAATAACCAATGGGTCACACAGGAAGTTAAAGAAGAAATCAGACAGTTCCTAAAATTAAATGAAAATGCTAATACAACATATCAGAATCTATGGGACAATGAAAGCAGTATTACAAGGAAAATTCATAGCAGGTAATACTCATATCAGGAAAACAGAGCAAGCTCAAATAAACAACCTAATGCTGAACCTCAGGCTTCTAGAAAAAGAAGAGCAGGACAAACACAAAGCTCATACAAGGGTGGAAATTATAAAAAATCAGAGCAGAATTCAGTGCAATTGAGACTAAAAGAATGACACCAAAAAAATCAATGAAGCAAAGAGTTGGTTCTTTAAAAGAATAAACAAAATTGACAAACCCTTTGCCAACCTTATCAAAAAAAAGGAAAGAAAGGACCCAAATCCATGTAATTAGGAATGAAAAGGGTGAAATTACAATGGACCCAGCAGAAATCCAGAGGATCATCAATACCTACTTTCAGAACCTATACACTAATAAGATAGAAAACACAGAAGAAATGGACAAATTCCTAGATATGTATGAATTACCAAAGTTGAACAATGAAGACCTAAAAATTCTAAACAACCCAGTATCAATCAATGAAATTGAAAACATAATTAAAAACTTACCAATGAAGAAAAGCTCAGGTCCTGATAGCTTCACTGCTGAATTCTACAAGACATTTAGAGAACTACTGCCACTACCTGTTTAAACTCTTCAATGAAATTGAAAGGGAAGCAATACTCCTGAATTCATTCCTGGAAGCAAGTATCACCTTGATCCCCAAAGCAGAGAAAGACACAACCAAAAAAGAGAACCATAGGTCAATCTCACTAATGAACACAGATACAAAAATCCTCAATAAGATATTGGCAAACAGAATGCAGAAGATCATCAAGAAGATCATATGCCCTGATCCAGTTGGATTCATCCCAGGGATGCAGGAAATGTTCAATATACACAAATCAATAAATGTAATACACTATATCAATAGAGCCAAGGACAAAAACCATATAATCATCTCAATAAATGCAGAAAAAGCATTTGACAAAATCCAACACACATTTATGATAAAAACCATACCGAAAATTGGAACAGACAGTCTCTATCTCAACCTGATAAAAGACATCTATTAAAAACCAAAAGCCAATATCATACTAAATGGACAAAAACTGAAATTGTTCACACTAAAATCAGGAACAAGACAAGGATGTCCACTATCACCACTCCTGTTCAATATAGTTTTGGAAACATTAGCCACAGCAATCAGACAAGAGAAAGAAATAAAAGGAATAAAGATAGTAATGAAGAAGTCAAATTGTCATTATTTGCAGATGACATGATACTCTATATAGAAGACCCCAAGAACTCCACTAAAAGTCTTCTAGACTTAATAACCAAATTCAGTCAAGTAGCTGGTTACAAGGTCAACACACAAAAATCAATAGCTTTCCTCTACACAAATGACAGACTCACTGAGAGAGAAATAGGGCAAATAATTCCTTTCACAATAGCATCCAAAAAACTGAAATACCTAGGAATCAACCTAACAAAAGAAATGAAAGACCTCTTCTCTGAAAACTAAAGCACTCTGAAAAGAGAGATTGAAGAGGATATCAGAAAATGGAAAGACATCTCCCGTTCCTGGGTGGGAAGAATCAACATAGTGGAAATGGCCATACTTCCAAAACTGCTATATAGATTCAATGCAACCCCAACTGAAGTTCCAGCAGTATACTTCATGGATCTTGAGAAGACAATCCAAAAATTCATTTGGAACAAGAGACCCAGAATAGCAAAAGCAATTCTAGACAAGGGATATCACAACTCCCAACTCGAAACTATACACTCGAAGCTACTGTGACAAAAACAGCATGGTACTGGCAAAGAAACAGACCTGAGGACCAGTGGAACAGATTAGAAGATGCAGAAACAACGCCAGACACACTCAGCCACCTCATCCTCAAAGGAGCCAAACACCCTCACTGGAAGAAAGATAGCCTCTTTAATACACAGTATTGGAAAAACTGGATTTCAACCTGTCAAAGATTGAAACTAGTATTATATCTCTCACCATGCACTAAACTAAAATCAAAATGGATTAATGACCTGAATATTAAAAAAGAAACACTAAACCAGCTGAAAGAGAGGTTAGGTAGAACTCTTGAAGACATTGGCCTAGGAAAAGATTTCATGAACAAAACCTCAGTAGCATGTGAACTAGCACAAAGAATCAACTAGTGGGATCTCTTCTCATTGAAAAGCTTCTGCACAGCAAGAGAAACCACCAACAGTGTGAAGAGACAACCCACAATGTGGGAAAAATTTTCACCTGCTGTTCCTCAGACAGAGATCTACTACCTAGAATATATAAAGAACTTTAAAAAAATCAAACCTCCCAAATTTAAAGACCCAATCCAAAAATGGGCATCTGAAATGAACAGACATTTCTCAGACAAAGAAGTAGAACTAGCAAATAAACATATGAAAAAAATGTTCAACATCACTGGTTATTTGAGAGATGAAAATGAATACTGAGATTCCACCTCAACCCCAGAAAGCTGCTATCAAGAAATCAACCAATACCAAATGCTGGTGGAGCTGTGGGGAAAAAGAAACCCCTCTTCACTGTTGGTGGGCGTGTAGACAGATATAACCACTGTGGAAATTAGTATGGACATACCTCAAAACCTAGGACTAGAGGTCCCATTTGACCCAGCTATTCCCCTGCTGGGTATCTTCCCAAAAGAATTAAAACAATCATACCAATGTGATATATGTGCACCCATGTTCATAGTGGCACAGTTTGTAATAGCTAAAACTTGGAAACAGCCCAATTGCCCATCAACTGGAGAGACTGGATAAAGAAAATGTGGTTTTTAAATAAAATGGAGTACTACTCAGCCACAAAGAAGGATAAAGTAGGGACATTTATAGCTAAATGGATGCATATTGAAGCCATACTCTTAAATGAAATAAATAGGACACACACATGTAAATACCGAATAGCTTTTCTGGTGTAAGAAACTTAAAGTGTAAATAAGGATCAAAATGTATGATAGATAATGTGAAATAGGAAGAAAAGGTCCAAAGGAGAAGGGAAGTTGGAGGGGTAGGGGAAAGGAAAGAAGAAAAAGGAATAAATGAGAAAAGGAAAAAATGGAAACAAAGGCTTTGTAAATAGGGAAGGGTGGAGAGGTTGAATGGAGGGCAGGGGAATGGGGAAAAAAAACAAGAACCAAGATATAGCATGTAAAGGTACAAATTTCCAGTAATGAATGTCAGCATATTGTATATGTAAAATGTACCAGTAAACTTAATGGAAAAAACAGAGCCAAGATAACAAATATTCTCTGTATTTATGCTTACAAAGCATTCCCTGTATTCTCAACTGATCAAATTCAATGTTTTGCCTTAAATTCCCAAATATATATTTAATATTAACATGTGTTACTATAGGATGTTATCTTTTACTTAAGTATTGCGCATGACATTTTCAGATTACCTTGAGACAGTTCAAATTGTGCGAAAGATATATGTACAAAAGCAAATTTCTTGCAGTTTGCTCTGGCCATTTGAAAGTAGTCACGTGCATCATCTGGCTCTTGAATACTGTAATAAGATTTGGAGCAATTAAAAAAAAAAAAAGACATAGCTTCCTAAATTTGGTAACTCTTCATTGTATTTTCCAAAAGATATAAGCTACTACCTTTTTCTGTGTAAAATTACAAACCTAGTTTTCCTAATCTTTTTAGGTACAGTCTAAAATATGTACTTTTTGGAAACATGTACATAAGAAAGTTTACATTAATTCCTTGGTAATTAAAAGCAAAAATAATTGGTCAAAAAAATATCAATCTGGCAAGATGTTTTCATTTTCCCTCTTTGCAATGTAGTCATATTATCAAATATACAGTTAGGTAAATGCAGTCAAAATGCTAATACTTACGCTTTTAATTCAGCAAATCTCACTTGAATATGGGCAAAACTCTCATTTTGGCCATATTTATCTGGAGGAAGTGCTTCAATTGCTTGACTGTAACGACCAATCAATTTATTTAAAAGAGCATCATTTAGGGGGACACTGTTTTTCTCTAGTTTGAGTAAGAAATTCAACCAGTCCTCTGGGTTATTCGCCATCATCATAATCTGATTAACAATTCCTGAGTTATCTGAATAAGGAAAACAAGATGTATCATAACAGAGGTGGATATAAAACAACGGCAAATTGAATTGTTCCTTCAAATTGACAGATAAGCACTTATCTGTTAGTATCCATTTATACAAACCCATGTAATGCTTTTTTTTTTAATGTAACAATTCACATTTGAAAATTCCCCATCAAGGATTTAATGCATGAAAAATTCAGAAGTACTTTGGTCTGAGCATAACTTTCTTTTTATAATCTTACCTACTATGTTATTTCCATATACCTTAAATTTACTTGTAAAACAAAAGAAAACCAGCTTGGTCATTTTCTTCTTCCTTCAAGTTACATAAATTTCTTCTAGAGGCCCTACTAATTTCCTTGTCTTACCAGCCCATAACTACCTTGATCTAGATCTTCAGAGTTATAGGACTATTTGTATCTACCACTTTTCTCTCTATGGAACTTTGACCAATAGAAACAGCTGGAATAATGTTTAAACATAAGTTTCACACTGTGATATACTTTTTATTTTCTTTAGTGTTGATTGTTTTAAATAGATAACTTGGATGTCATTCTCCCATTTAGGATATTTTAGCCATTACTAAACATTAAACTCAGATTTGCCAGAGAATCTACAATTCCTCTATCAATTTCAGTTGCCATGAACAAACCCTAACTCTTTACTTTTGCAAATAAAATTTATTTCTGCTTTCTACTAAAACATAATGCATTCAGAATTTTGCCCTTTCACTTTAAGTTAATTTGGTCTGATCTTAATTCTCCAGTTTTATTTTTCATTGCTTTCCTAGCAATTACAGTGTTGACTCTGTTCATAAACTTAATTTCTTCCATGATTCCAGATGTTGGCAGCTGTGTTTGTTCCCCAATGCAGAGTTCGTGAATGGAAGCAAAATTGGGCTGAACACTTTAGTTCATGAATGGAATCATTTGAGAACAGAAGGGTTCATGTACAGAAGTAATATTGTAGTCTATGAAAAGTCTAACAAAATTACATTTTTGCAAGCTGGGCAGTGGCTCATGACTGTAATCCCCACCCTTGGGAGGCTAAGCAGGAGGATCAAGGCAATTTTGAGGCCATCTTGAACTACAGCGCCACACTCTGTCTCAACAAACTCACATTTTTGCCATATGTAGCTTTGAAGATATATTCCTCAGGCTTCCGAGTTACCCCATCCTTCCTCTATTCTACAGAGAAAGCATCTGTATCTTTATCATGCTAACATTCACATGATGGTCAGCATACATGACAATGTAGCACAGAGAATAAATTCTCATTTCAAAAGACACTATGCTTTTTTCTCATGTTTGAACTTTCTTCAATAATGTCTTATATCACAATTCTTAATATAATGTTACGTTTTGAGTGTGCTAAGGATCAATGATATTTAAGCAAGTACCCAACTACCTTGGCATTCAGGCTTGTCGGTGAGAGACATAAGTTGGGTGAGTCTGACTACTTGACAGCAAAACTATAATTCCCTTGTTTGTTTCAAAGCAAATACAGCCAAGCCTAGATCCCAGAGTCTTCCATTTATTTCCAATCTCTCAAATATTTAATCGTCACTACCAATATAACAAACATCCAAAAGTCACTTACTACTCAAGTGACTCAACCATTTGAGAAATAAGAACTGGGCTCCTGATCTAGTAATTTTCACAAAGCTAGTGTGTGAAACTTTGAGCAGTTTCACTCATTATCATTCAATAAATATTTAAGTGCCTATTGTATGTCAGCCACTGTTCTAAGTTTTGTGGATATAACAAACCTGATTAAAACCCCTGCCCTTGTGGAGTTCACATTCTAGTGGTAAAGAAAGACAATAACCAAACACATGAGTAAATTATATATGAAGTGATTAGTACTGTGGAGAAAAATAATACAAGGAAGGAAGATAGGGGTCACATTTTCACTCCAGTAGATAGATATCCTAAACAGTTAACTTAGGAAAGGACTTACTGAGATCACATTTAAAAAATGACCTGAAGGAGGCAAGAGTGGGTAGATATTTGGGGATATTGTTCAAGGAATGGGTCAAGAGCAAGGATATTGGAGTATAAGCTTGTCTAGCACACAGAAGAGACATCAAGGAAGCCACTGTTGCTGAACAGAGGGTTAGAGAGGATAGGAAAAAAAGAGGTAGAGGAGAAATAAAAATTCTTCAAATAAAAAAATTCAGTGTTTGATGTTAAATTTTTGCTGTTGTTTTTGTTCTGAGACAGGGTCTTGCTACGTAGTTCAGGCTGGCCTCGAATTCACTATATGGCCCAGGCTGACCCCAAACTCGAAGCAACCCACTTGCCCCAGTCTCCCAAGTGCTAGGATTACAGGTATGTACTGCAATGCTCAGCTTTGATGTAAAATGTATACATAACTTTATTAAGATTGGTGAGGTTTCCTTAGTATACTGCAAAAAAAAGAAAGGAAAAAAAATGGCATATCTATTGATGAAAGGCATATCAACAGAAATAGCTGACACCTTTGGGCACACAAGTGATAGTTCATGTTTTAAGAAAGCAGAAAATCAGGGCCTGGGATTTAGCTCAGTGGTTTCGCCGCCTGCTGTGCAAGCACAAGGACCCAAGTTTGATCCCAGTTCCAAACAAACAAACAAAAACAACAACAATAAGGGCAGGGATTTAGCTCAGTGGTTCCAACGCCTGCCTTGCAAGCACAAGGTTCTGAGTTTGATCCCCAGTACCAAAAAATAAAATAAAATAAGAAAGAAAATCGTGGAATATTTCCAGACAAAGAGCTTAAAAGACAAAGTGTACTTTAATGGGTAAGTGTTATATAGTGAGGAAGTTACAGTATGTTGACATACAGGGCTTGGCATCTCATTCCTTTCCTTTGGGGACACTTTACAAACAGTTCTTATTTTTAAAAAGAAGAAAAAAGAAAAACTCACCTGTCGTATCAGCGGAGACTTTACTCAAGCTTAGCTCATCAGTAAGATCTTCATTTTTAAATTTATTTTTAATATCTCTCACTTTGTTCATTATGGAATCAATTGTCAATTCTCTGCCACTTAAATCCTCACCCTCCATTTCTAAGTTGCAACTGGCCTTTTAGAACCCAGAAAATAAAACATTAGTTTGGTTAAACACCTAAATATGGAGCTATGACTAGAGAAGTGTTAGTGTAGCTCTGTGTAGAAAAACAATGGAAATGACTTTGTACGTTCAAGATTTCAAAAGGTCCAGTACACCTTTTCTTCCCAATATAACTTCAGTTTTATCGAGTGAAGTTACACTTTGGAAATCATTGCACAACACTGCTGCCCGCCCCCCCCTTACACTTTCCATTTTCTCTCCTATGCATGGAGTGCTTTTCTTTGACCCTTTTACTAGAATTGTTTTCTCAGGCCATCACAATGTACATCTTTTAAAAAAAAATTTGATGGAGTGTTCACTTGGATTCTGGTAATAACATGTAAAGAATCTTTTTGGTAATGGAAATGATAGTTGGTAATAAAAACAAGTGTCCCTTTATTCACCTGCTTTATATTAGTAAATTTTCACATTGAGAGTACTTTCAAAGCAGAGTATGAACATCCCATTGGTAAATGAGATTCAGCGGATTTGTTCCTGCGTACAAATGGCAGAATCACGACCCGCTTCCTTAATCATTTTAATTAAACTCCTATAGTACTAAGCACTTGCCCATCTGCATAATGGTGCTGGATCAACAGTGTGTCTGCAACCTTTCCCCGTCAATCTCATCTCCGTGATTTTCAAACATCAACTCAGTCACTCGGAGTGATAGCACTGCCCCATTTTCGAGATTAACAATTAAAAGGGACGACAGAGTGTACAAGGTAATATCCGCCTCTGAGGTGAGAGGTGAAAGGCAACTGATTGCCTGAACGTTTCCAGCTCTAATCCAATGGAGTAAAAACACGGTCTCTGCGGGTAAAATCTCCTGGCAGGTTTCGGGCCAGGGCCTCCATCCGACAAGGTCCACACCCACCTCTGGCTTCCTTAACAAACGCTCCGGTACCACCCTCCTCCTCCTCAACCGCTTCCTCGGGCGTCCACTCAACTGTGAGCGCCCCGCCTCGCCCCAGCTTTCACCAACCCGGCCGCCAAGGAGGACCTGCACTCGGGTCGTAGCTGTGCTTCGGGAAGTCCGCAGGACGAAACCAACCTCAAAGCCTAGGAGAAAAATGGACCCGGAACGCCTCTCCGTACACACATTTGAATTTCCCCGCCGCTCTCGCCGCGATCCCCCATTGGTCACGGTCGGTCATGTGACGACGCCTGTCCTGATTTGTTCCTAGCGTCCGCGATCCCGCCCCTGCGCTCCCGGGACCAGTGGCTGCAGAGTGCGGCGCGTGTCAATGGCCGCTGGTGGCTGTTCTGTGCTTTCCAGGCTCAAAGGTCGGTTCCTTGCCCGGCAGGAGGTTGCCCCAACCCCAGGACCTTACAGTGCACGGCGGGTCGCCAGCTCCCCGCGTTCCTTACCGTCGGGCTGGGGGCGGGTCGGGTCCTGTGAGGGTATTTTGCGCTAACCCGCGTTGACCCAGCCGCAGCGGTTTGCCCTTGAGCTTCCATTTTTGTCCTTCCACGCCCCTAAATGACTCCGAGCCTGGTCCTCCAGCCGACGACTGCAGTTCAGCGGGTTACGTCGGGACTGCGCCGTCACGACTCACTGGACCAGCCTCTCCCGCCTGCCCGCTCTGAGCTCGGTGTCCTTGAGGAGCGGCGGGCGCGGCCTCGTCACCTGCGGAAGGAGGGGCGACCCTGGTGCAGGGTGAGGCCCTTGTTCTGCGGGAGCGCAGCCTGGCCGATGTGCAGGAAACGACCTGCAGCCATCGCGTTTTAAATGGCAAGCTGCCTTTCCCCTCTCCTGCTCACCCAGCATGAGACCTCTACGTCACTCAGCTACATCTCTCCTTATCTGTCGGTGCAGTCTTTGCTTCAACAAAGCAGAATGATGTGCTGTACCATGGCTGACGAGCCGCTACCCTTGCGCCTTTGTGTCTGACACTGCTTGGCTTGGAAGGAGGTTGCTATACCGCCAGTTCCTTTTGATTTCTTTGGTGCCTGATCTCAAAAGTTTGCATTTTTCCTGAATATATTGCTGCTGAATAATCTCATTCTAACATTTCATCTGTGCATTCACCCTTTTGATGAACTCCTGTAGTCGTGTCTTTGAATACCATCTCTACATTATGGCTCACAAATTTATATTTCCAGCTGAGATTCTGAACGCATATTTAAATATCCTTGCCTACTTAACATGCCCACCTAAATATTTCATAGACATCTTGAATGCAAAATTTGCAAACAGCCCCTAATCTTCCTAAATCTGCTTCTTTCAAAATCTCGTCCATAACGCATAATTAACTTCCTAATTCCAATTTTTTAGGTCCACAGTCTTTGTGTCATCATCCCTGACCCCACATTCAGTTCATAAGCAGATTGAGTCGGATCTTTCACTGGATCTTTCACTAGATATTTCTAGAATGCTACCCCTTCTCCCCACCTCCGCTGCCACCCGTCTAGTCCAAGGCACCCTCCTGCCTTACCTGCTTCACTCCAGGAACCTCCTGGCTATTCTCCCTGCTTCCACCCTTACCTTACCTCAATTTATTCTTCAGCCCAGCAGAATAGTCATAAATCATACCATGTTATTCCTGTGCTCCTGATCTAGCTCAGATTGAAGTCTAAAAGTTTCTACAATGGTCTAGCGCTGTGTGTTTAATACACTTTTAGCCATCCATAGCTACTGAGCACTTGAATGCCTCTACAGTAATCAAGAAGCTAATATGTTAAGTTAATTCATCTTAATTGAATTAAATTTTAAAACATATTTAGTATAATTATTGGCAAACCTTTAAAAACACTTTTCTACTATAAATTTTGTGAGTTCTTAATGTAAATAAAATATTTCCCAATGAAAGTATCTGAGTTTGATACGTACTGTTAAATATAAAATTCACACTGGATGTTAAAGACTTAGTATTTTTAAAATGTAAAATATAAAAATAGTATTTACAGGCTGAAGTGATATTTTTGCTATATTTAATTAAATAAAATTCAGTATTAATATTCTGTCACAGACAGAGGAGACTAGAGACATGATGCCTAAATGCATTGTGCTATTATGGACTGGATTCTGAATAAGGAAGTAGACATTCATGGAAAATTCTGCTGAAATTTAAAGGAAGTCTGGGGTATCAGTAGAAGTGCCAGTGTTGATTTCTTAGCTGTGCCAAGTGTATCATATCATAAAAACAATAGAATGTTAAATGAGTGGTATGCGACTATCTGTACTACCTTTCAATTTTCTTTATAAATAAAATTATTTCACAATAAAGTTTGTGAAAATTTAATTTCTCCCATTTCTTCTTGTTTTTTAAAATGCCCAATAGAAAACTGAAAATTACTTATGTGGCTTGTTTTACATTTCCAATGGGCTGTGATTATCTGTAAATCTTGAAGTTTTATGTATCTGACCTATTTATCTTATTTATTTTCTGACTATCCACTCATTCTACTAGAATGTAAAGTCTATAGGTGCAGGAATTTTTGTCTGCTTTGTTCCTCACAGTAGTAGATGTCCCTCCCAGTGCATGGATCAGTGCCTCTTATGTTGTTGAACTTGGTAAATGTTAGCTAAATACTAACACATTAACTTTTGAAGTATTTGAGAATCCTATTTCCTTTAATACACTTGTACAGTTCTCATTTGAATGAAAATCCACTTCATCTGACTGTAAATAAAAACCTGCTTATTTTCAGAGTCAAGCCTTCCACAAAACAATATTAGAAAAAAGATGATGCCTTTATCTTAATACTAAAACTTTCATAATTTTTGTCAAATACATAAAATTTGGACTATATAACTTTGCCATTGTCGTATCATTTTTTGCTAATCTTTGTTTTTGGTCAGCACGGCTGTCTTATTTAATTACAGTATTGAAGTCATTGTTACATGAGTTCACTAACCCTCAAACTTTGTTCTCAAAAACTTTCCTGGAGCAATTTACTTTCAAATTCTCCCTACTTGTTCAGAGTAGCTGTCTGTCATCTCTCTTTTCCTCCTTTCCCATCTTCAAATAAATTACCTTTTTTAAAAAAATCACAACTATTTACTGTACTTAGATTTACATTGTGCATGTGTGGAGATTAAATTTCTGATAAATAATAGAAATTATTACAGTCCTTACAGAATGTAATTAGTTGTATGCTGATTTATGGTGGTCTATTCTGGGGTTAAAATATTATGAGTATAGGATTTTTGAGCACGTAAAATGGTGTAGGATTATAAGAAAGGTGAACGCCTGTATGAATATTATCAGTAAAGATGACTGTCACAGAATGGATTAAGCCAACTCAATATGGAAAAAAATGTGCCACGAAGATTGAACTACTTTATAAGTTATGAGGAAAAACAGTAATGACAGCTCAGAGTAGGATCTGACCATGAAAAGGAGCAGTGACAAGTTTGGATCAATACTTAAGACATTAGGTATTAAGTCATTCTGAAGACAGATTAGTTAACAAGTGACAGAGGAAAAATAGGATCTGAGCTAGTATTCTTTTTTCCCCATCCTAGAGACTAGGGTTCAAGTTGGCAATTTGAAAAACAAATAAATTGAAACTCTTGTTAGGTCAGGCTATGTAAGAAAATCATGTAAACTTCATTCGAATTCTCTGACAAATGAATTTTAAAACATTTTTATACACCTGTTTTCAATTTCTTCTATGTAAAAATTCTACATATGTAGAATTATGTAGCTGGGTAATATACCAAAATATTCTAGAGAAACTAAACAATAGTGAAAAAATATAAATGAACAAAAATTTATAAATATATCCAAGAAACATTGTTGGCAATCTTAATACAATCTTGCAATAATAGAAAACCAAAAACAGACAAATATTACTTTTTAAAAAGAATTTAGATGCTATAAGTCTATATAATCTTGAGGCAGGTTTTTTAACCCAATTCTGGAGTAAATTATAGAATGTTTGAAGAAAGACATATAGATACAAACATGAATTCATTAAGAACAGATCACATAAAATACACTAAGCTTTTTAATTTTTGATAAATTTAGAAAGAAGAAGAACATAAATTGTAATATCTTAATTTTGGGAAAGAGTGATAAAGACTTTTTTCTTTAAAGAGAGGAGCATGTAAGTTCCACACTGAATATCAGGTGATTCTACAACTCTGCACCCTTTTTCCCATAAACCACTTCAATATAGTTTAAGGAGAATTTCAGATTGCTCCCAGGCAGAAGACTACAGTGCTGTATCCTTGGTCTTTTTCACAACAAATAAAAGGGAAAGAAAGATCCCTTCTTGGCCTTTTGGCTAAGATCAAGTGTAGAATAAAACAGATACAATGTTAGATTAGAATTTAAAAGGACAAAATTAACAGTATGACATTTGCAGGGATAGATATAAAACTGCACATTAAGGTTTATTAAAATAAAATTTTCTGAGGTTGGGGATGTGATTCAGTGGTGCCACGCCTGCCTGGTAAGTGCAAGGTCCTGACTTCGATCCCTGGTACCGGGGAGGAAAAAAAATGAGAATAAAATTTTCAGAAAGAGTCCAGCTAAGATGAAGAAATATGATCCAGATGTATTTCTGGAAACAACAAACTGTACAAAATAAATGAAACATGATTTTTAAACTTCAGACATTAGGCAGTGCAGGAGAGTGGTCCCTAAGAGGAGACGGGGAAAAATGAGTCATAAGGTGCTCCTGAGTCACTTCTTGGGGAGATTTTCCAAGCTTCAATGGAGAAAGGGGTAACCCAGGAGTTACCTATCATTCTCCATAACTTAGAGACAGAGGTAGGAGTGTGGGATGGCCAAGATAGCTAAAGCTTACAGGACAGAGTATCAGAGAAAAGAAAGCAGAGCAGAACAGAAATCTAGGAATCTGAGGATGCCTTTGAGTCTACAGCTGAGTATGAATAAGTGCATGTGTGTCAGGAAACTGCCCAAAAGAGCAGGAACAAAATAACAGACAAGAGGATCAAAGGGAACAATGCCTGGAGTTGATAAAGGGCAAGGAATAGTCCATGCTCACAGAACAGGTAGAGGACTCATGATACAGCCTCAGTACAGTTGTCCCTTGGTTCCAGAACTTCTTGCCTATACAAAGTTCACGGATGCTCAGGTTGTTTACAGAAATGGCACAGTCTTACCCTGTGTGTATGCTCCTACATGTTGTAGATCATCTTCAGATTACTTGTAATACATAATTCAAAGTAAATGTGATATAAATAATTACACTGTATTCTTTAGTGAATAGTGACAAGAAAAAAGTCTGTATATGTTCAGTATAAACACAAGCTTTTTAAACTGGGCGTGGTGTCAATGGTTATAATTCCAGCTACTTGGGAGGCTGAGGCAGGAGAATTGCAAGTTTGGGGCCTGCGCAAGGAACTTAACAAAATCTGTCTCAAAATAAAAGAAAAAAGGGGTGGGGCTGCAGCTTGGTTCAATCCCCAGTACTGCTACACACACACACACACACACACACACACACACACAAACACACACACAGGAAAAGCAGGTAGATAGATGATAGAGATAGATAGATAGATAGATAGATAGATAGATAGATAGATAGATAGATAGATAAATAGATAGTGGGAGGGTGGGTGGATGGATAGATCAATCCACTCCACAGCTGGTTAAAGCCATGATGTGGACAGAGATGTCTCACTGAAGTAGGCAAAATAAGTACTAAACTAAAGCCTGCATCTGTCCAGCCTAGCAAAGTT